CCACTCTTATTTAAGATAGTACTGGAAGTCTTAGCCACAGCAATCAGACAGGAAGAAAAAATAAACAGGATTCAAATTGGAAAGGAGGAGGTGAAACTGTCATTATTTGCAGATGACATGACACTATACGTAGAAAACCCCAAAGACTCCATCAAAAATTTACTAGACTTAATAGATGAATTTGGCAACGTAGTAGGATACAAAATTAACGTCAAGAAATTGATGACATTCTTATACACCAATGATGAACTCACAGAAAGAGAAAGTAAAATAAACAATCGCATTTACCATTGTTGCAAAAAAATTAAGATATCTAGGAATAAACTTAGCCAAAACAATAAAGGACCTATTTGCAGAAAACTACAGGTAATTGAAAAAAGAAATAGAGGAAGATATAAAAAGTGGAAGCACATACCTTGTTCATGAATTGGGAGAATCAACATCATTAAAATGTCCATACTACCCAAAGCAATCTATAGATTCAATGCAATCTCCATTAAAATAACAATGACATACTTCAAAAAACTATAACAAATACTCAAAAGTTCATATGGAACCATAAAAGACCCTGAATAGCCACAGCAATCTTGAAAAAAAAGAATAAAGTGGGAGGGATCACATTACCAGATTTTACATTATACTACAAAGCCACAGTAATCAAAACCACCTGGTACTGGCAGAGGAACAGGCAGATAGACCAGTGGAACATAACAGGGAACGCAGAAATGGACCCAAGGCAATATGCTCAATTAATATTTGACAAAGGTGGCAAGAGCCTACAGTGGAGTAAAGACAGCTTCTTTAATAAATGGTGTTGGGAGAATCGGACAGCTACATGCAAAAAAATGAAATTAGACCATCAACTTACACCATACACAAGAATAAACTCAGAATGGATAAAAGACTTAAATGTGATTTATGAATTCATAAAAATCCTAGAAGAAAATGGAGGCAACAAAATTTCAGATATCATACACAGCAGAATTTTCACTGATACATCACCTAAGGCAACAGAAACAAAGAAGTAAATGAACACATGGGACTACATCAAACTCAAAACCTTCTGCACAGCAAAAGAAACAACCACCAAAATGAAAAGGCAACCCACTGTATGGAAGAGCATAATTGCCAATGATACATCAGATAAGGGGTTAATATCCAATATATATTGAGTGTTCATACAGCTCAGGAAAAGGAAGACAAAGAACCCAATTAAAAAATGGGCAGAGGAACTAAATAGACACCTCTCCAAACAGGACATACAAATGGCTAAGAGACATATGAAGAAATGCTCAACATCACTAATCATCAGAGAGATGCAAATTTAAAAAACAATGAGATATTACCTCACACCTGTTAAAATGGCTGCCATCAACAAATCATCAAACAACAAGTGTTGGCGAGGGTGTGGAGAAAAGGGGACTCTAGTACACTGCTGGTGGGAATGCAGACTGGTGCAGCCACTATGAAAAACACTATGGTGTTACCTTAAAAAATTTAAAATGAACTGCCATTTGACCCAGTGATCCCACTTATAGGAATATACCCTAAGAAGCTTGGAACACCAATCAGAAAGACTATATGTACCCCTATGTTCTTAGCAGCACTATTTACAGTAGCTAATAATTGGAAACAGCCCAAATGTCCATCAGTAGACGAATGGATAAAAAAGCCATGGTACATATACACAATGGAGTAATATGCAGCTGTAAGAAAGAAAGATCTCTTATCCTTTGAGATGACATGGAGGAACCTGGAACGTATTATTCTAAGCAAACAAGCCAAGCAGAGAAAGACAAGTATCATATGATCTCACTTATTTGTGGAATATAATGAACATAGCAGTCTGAGGAATGGGGTAGTACCAGGGACGTGGAAGTGAGGTGCAGACTGACAATCCCCAGAGGAGGGGGTGAGGGGGGAGAGATAAACCACAGAACTTATATGCATGTGTGCATGAACAACGGTATGTACATCAAAGCTGAGGACAGGGCGGGGAGGGCTAGAAAGGGGGGTATCATTGGGGAAAAAAGGAGAAACATCTGTAACAAAAATAAATTAATTTAGTTTAAAAAATAAAAAATAATAACCAAAAATTAGAGTATTTGATGGAAAGAAGCAGCATGCATTTGAAGTATGGACATTTATTATCCAGCAAACTTTAAGCCCGGAAGGAGATGAAAATACTATAGGACTGTGTTGCTTGGAGTAAAGAAACCTAGCCATAATAAAAACAGATAGGAGAGAAGCAGCAGAGGACTTCGAATTGGTGAGACCAGATACATGGTAAACAGGGATCATTATTCAGGTTCTTTAAGCCAAAGAACACTGTCACCTGAAATATGTGGATCATTGAAGTCAGTTAACAGAGGATCATTGTGAAATGTTAATGAAGTGAGTTTTGTTTCTTCTCATTGCCACTTAATGTTTTCTACAAGAAATACCTGAGTAGGAACAACAGTGGCATATTAATGTAACTTATTATATAACCCCCACTGGTCTCTGAGAAAGGCACTGAAACAATAAGGCAATAATACATGTCACTTTTTGCTGCTATTTGGGTTGGGGTGGGGGATGACTTGTCTGGTTTCTTGCATATATTGAGAAAGGGGTAAAGTATAGCAGTTAGGAGAAGGCTCCAATGTACACCTGCCTAACAGTGTGGTATTGGGCACTTAGATAACCTTTCTGAGATGGTTTTCTCAATTGTCAAACCAGCAAATAACAGCACCTACCTCATGGATTTGTTGTGAGAATTAAATGAGTTAGTGCAGTTCTGGCCAATTTGGTTCAGCAGTTAGAGCCTCAGCCCATGAACCAAAGTGTCATGAGTTTGGTATCCAGTTTAGGGCACATACCTGGGTTGCAGGTTTGATCCCCAGCTCTGGTCAGAGTTGTGCAGGAGGCAATCAATTGTTGTTTCTCTCTAGCATCTATATTTTTCTCTTTCTCTCCTTCCCGCCCTTCCACTCTATCTAAAAATCAATGGAAAAATATCCTCCAGTAAGTATAAGCAAAAATAAATAAATAAATGAGTTAGTGCATATGGAGTGTTTAGAATAGTGTCCAGTACATTCATAAATACCAATTAGTGTCATCACCCCCTTCAAACAAGAATGGGATTACACACCATCTGTGGTCCCCACCCACCAAGTTGGTAGCAATTCATAAATCCACAGTAACAATGGCTTATTGCTGGCCTATTAAAGGTAGGACAACACTACATTTTTATTTAAATTTAGAATTCTACCATGGATTTACAGGATTGGCAGAAGCAGATTAGCAATGCATATTGATCAAAGCTGGGTATCAGAGTCATCTCTTCCTAAGAAGTGCCAGAATCTCTGTGAGCATTTCTTTTTTTATTTATCAATTCTACCATCAAATGCATTCAAGATTGAAAATATATATCAAATCTGATCACATTTATTGGACTCAAGTATAAGGCAGGAGACTCAGTCTAGATAGCATCTCCAAAGGTGGTTCATGCGGGGCACAGGCCTTGGGATATAGAATCTGTTATAAGGAGTTGGCTCATGCAATTATAGAGGCTGACAAGTCCCAAGATTTGCAGTCTGCAAGCTGAAGACTCAGGAGAGCTGATGGTGTGGTCCCTGGCAGGAAGGCAGCAGGCTCAAGATCCCCAAAGAGCTGATGTTTTCATCTGAGTCCAGAAGCAGGAAAAACCTAATGCCCCATCTCAGTAGTCAAAGAGGAGGAGTTCCCCTTTACTCATGAAAGCCTTCTTATTCTTTTCAAGCCTTCAATGGATTGGATGAGGCCTGCCTACATTGGGGAGAGCAATCTGCTTTACTCAGACTATTAGTTCAAGTGTTAATCTCATCCATAAACACTCTCACAGACACACCCAGAATAATATTTGACCAAATATCAGGCACCCTGAGGTCCAGTTAACACATAAAGCTAACTATCAAAGACCTCATTCTGTTCAGCAAGTGTGGACACAAGAGTGGATGCTTTAGCATGTAGACGTCCCAGGGCTAAGTAGCTACAACTAGGATAATTAATCATTCTAGTTTGCCTGGGACTGAGAGAGTACTCAGGATGCAGCACTCTGAGTCCCAGGCAAACAAGATAAATTAGTCAACCGAGGTAGAACCCTACCAGCAGCTACCACCTGCTACTTCACTTCTTTCCTAATCATCTACCTACCTAACTCATACATTTCTACCTTAATGCTTTACTTTGACCCCAGTCCTTTGTAAGGAAATTAGTCCCTTTTTAGTAAAAACTTTAGTATAAGACAGTGATGAGTGCCTTGTGGACTTTGGCTCAAAGAATACACTTGATTCACTCTCCCAACAGCCACTAATTTCAAACATTTCATAAAACCATCTGTGTCTAGCCATCTGGAAACTGAACCAATAAACATTCCACATGCTTTCACCAGAAGAAGACTTCTCAAAGTACTTAGACTATGATCTAGTTAGACTTTTCTGCTTGAGGGAAACTGTACCCTTTTACTGCCATCATTCAACTGTAACCTAGAGACACATTGAAAATCTCCAGAAATAGCATTCTATGAGTTCTGCATTTGAAACAAAAATAATAACATATATTGCATAGTCAATTTTGGAAATGGTATATCAATATCTTTGCCATCATCCTATATGCTATAAGGTCAAGCAATGACTCAGAAAGACAAGCAGTGAAAAAGAAATGACTCAAACATCTCATCAGTCTACTGAACCCAGCCACTACCTCCAAATCAAAGCAAAGGAGTTGTGTGCTTTTCTGTTTCTACACATGCCATTATATTTCATTGAGACAATAGTGCTTTCTTAAAGTTAACATGGCTTGCTTTTATTTTTTAGTTTATTTTGCAACTGATATTTATATATATTCTTTCTTAGGTGGCCACGTGGTTTTTACCTCAGATCTCCAACCAGTAATACAAAAAAAAAAAAATTTTTTTTTGAAGAATCAGTCAAGTTTTCTGCCAAGTCCAAGTACCATTACTGCCTTCACAAGCAGGAGAAATGAAGCACATAATCAGTCTATATGACATCAACAATACAGCAAGAAATAATTCAGACTGTCCTTATGTGGTTTTGCCAGAAGAGGTATTTTTTACAATATCCATCATCGGGGTTTTGGAGAATCTGATCGTCCTTCTAGCTGTGATCAAGAATAAGAATCTCCAGACACCCATGTACTTTTTTATTTGCAGTTTGGCTGTTTCTGATATGTTGGGCAGCCTATATAAGATCTTAGAAAATATCCTGATCATGTTCAGACACATGGGTTATCTCAAGCCCCGTGGCAATTTTGAAACCACGGCAGATGATATCATTGATTCCCTGTTCATCCTCTCCCTGCTTGGCTCCATTTTCAGCCTATCTGTGATCGCCATTGACCGTTACATAACAATCTTCCATGCTCTGCAGTACCACAGCATTGTGACTGTGCGCCGTGCCATTGTTGTCCTGATGGTCATCTGGACATGCTGCACGTGCAGTGGCATCACCATGGTGATCTTCTCTCATCACATCCCTACAGTAATCACCTTTACATCATTGTTCCCTGTGATGTTGGTCTTTATCTTGTGCCTCTATGTGCACATGTTCTTGCTTGCCCGTTCCCATGCCAGGAAGATCTCGATACTTCCCAGAGCCAACATGAAAGGGGCCATCACATTGACTATCCTGCTTGGGGTCTTCATCTTTTGTTGGGCCCCCTTTGTTTTTCATGTCCTCTTAATGACATTCTGCCCAAATAACCCTTACTGTGTCTGTTACATGTCCCTCTTCCAGGTGAATGGCATGTTGATCATGTGCAATGCAGTCATTGACCCCTTTATATATGCCTTCCGAAGCCCAGAGCTCAAGGAAGCATTCAAAAAGATGATCTTCTGCAGCAGGTACCACTAGAATTATTGATCCCTGATTTTAGTAACCATGGTGATAATATTTTCAAGTGATAGAATAAAATGACATACCAACAAATACTAATACCATCCTTTCATTCCCTAGTGTGCATAAGAATTATCTCACTTCCTAGTATTTGTAATAGTTTGGTTCTGTGTGAACAGTCTTGCTATAATGCAACTTTTATAACCAGAGAGATAAAATAATGTAGTAAAAAGAAGGACAGAATACAAAGCACATACAGCAATACAAATTTGAGCACTTTGGACTAAAGGAAAAACTTGCTCTTTTATAGATATCCAGCAATCCTATTATTGGATTTCCATGCTAGAGACCACTGTAAGTGATTTCGAGAAGTTAAAGTACAGGACAAGTATTTAGGCCAGAAACTATATATATGTCTTTGTAAGCCAAAGGTGCCAATAAATTGCTGCAGCTGAATTTGCCTGTCTCATACTGCCATACGGAATCCCTGCCCTCCCTCCCTCCTACCTGTCTGCTTTATTGTATGCCATCCCATTTTGGAAGCTGGTAGGGTATAAATTATAAATGTCAAATAACCAACTTTAAATTTTCAAGAATAAAGAAACCTTTTCTGTTAGACTACTTTGCTCACTCAGTATCCAACTGGCTTTAAAATGCTTTCCTGGTTACAATTTCTCATGCTTTAGAAGCATAAATTTCAAAGGAGGAAATTAAAATTTAATCCATTTGGTTTCTGTGTAGAAAGACTAGAGGAAAATTGTGACCATCTGAAGAAGGTATAACCAATCTTTGTGAATTTGTTCAAATATAGAAGTAAAAAAAAAGAAGCCCCAAGCCCCAATATGTAATTTTTGAAGTAAGGGGATGAGAGAGAGAGAGATTGAGAGAGACAGAGATTGAGAGAGACTGATTGATTGATTGACTGATTGATTAGCATGCGTTGGTACTATGGGAAAATCCAAGACCAAAACAAAACAATACTTCAAAAACTTCAAGAACAGTGCTATCATTGAGATCCAAGGCAGGAACAAATGGAAAAGACATTTTGCTTTCTTTCACAGATGAGTCTGAGAGGTAGAACCAGTCACTACAATATTTCATCATGCCATCAGCTACAGGACAGATGCCAGATATTAAAAAGAGGCATTGCCAATGGGAATAAAAGAAACACAGTTTGTAAATTCATCTATTGTTAATAGCTAAAAATAAAGCTTAAAGAAACAGCTTCTGATCATAGTCCTAGCTAAGTTGGAGAGTGACTTAAAGGGATGAGGGATAAAACAGAGAGTGAAAATAAACCAGGTCTTCAAATGCTTAGGCATGGATGCTCAGGATCCAATGACAGTGGCATTGTCTTTTGGAAGAGGCAAGAGTTGACCCTCAATGGTGTTTTTCCTGAACTACTGAGAGCAGAAGCCAGCCACAGTCAGGATGACTAGTCAGGACTACTAGTCTGAGGATGAGTTTGTTATTAGATGTGGGGAGGAACAGGATCTTAAGAAGCAGAGCAATAGATATGGAGTTAAAGGGAAGACATCTGTAGACATTTTTTCAGAGAGCCTCCATCACAGTTTAAAGATGAAACCTAAAGTATATCTTTTTGTTCTCTGATCTGTAATAATCTTTTGGTCCTTCCTCCTCACCAATGAGATATATCACTCTAATGTATATTAAACCAGATTTATTAATATACAAAATACTATATGTGTTATTTTCTATAAAATCTAAAGCATAGCTCTATAACTGACTTTTAAATGTTATTTCTACCATTAAAAGAATAATCTATAGCATACTTTTCTGTGATTAAAGTGACTATTCTCAATAAATCATAACCCTTCTTTGATGTTGTGCTGTTCTATGATGCTATCAAGGTAGGTAGTACAATTTAACCCTTGTCCTAAATGATCTCAAACTGCTGTTCTGCCCTTGTTAATATCTTTGATTCCACTCTCAAGCTTTCAGCTGTCTCATATGACTGTTGTCATAGGAAATCACCTAGATATTTTTCTGCTTCTCACTGCCTTCAATTTGTGTTTAATCTAAGATACAAATCAAGAAGCTCCTCTAATAGTATATAAAACAAAAAACAAGCTGAGTGCTAACTCAGAGACATTTTCAATTCTAGGTTTTCAGCTATATTCAAATCAGATTAGGGTCTTCAGTACTCAGAATTACTGAAAAAACAAATATGGTTTTCTACCTCTACCTTTATATGTAATTCGAACAAAAACAGTGTGGAAGTACATTCATTTGAGTAAGGAAAACCAACAAGGCTCAGATTTTTCCCATGATTACTACTTTAATTCTTTTATCAAAATATCAAATTATGCAACCATGGAAAACTAATACACTTACCCAATTCAAGTTAGAGTTGGGTAAGTGTATTAGTCAACTCTAGGCTGAAGTGTGGCCCCAAGTCTATTTTCTGTGATGCTATTATGTTCCACATGCAAAAAGAAAAAAAAAAAAATGGCCATATCACAACAGAATGACTATTCACTTTGTCTCATTCCATGCCAGGACAGGCATGTCAAAAATATCTGGGGCCGGAAGGCAGACTGGTGCAACCACTATGGAAAACAATATGGTGTTTCCTCAAAGAATTACAAATCAATCTGCCATTTGACCCAGTGATCCCACTTCTAGGAATATAGCCTAAGAAGCCTGAAACACAAAACAGAAAGAATATATGTACCCCTATGTTCATAGCAGTACTATTTACAATTGCTAAGATCTGGAAACAGCTGTGTCCATTAGTAGATGAGTGGATAAAAACGCAGTGGTACATATACACAATGGAATACTATGCAGCTGTAAGAAAGAGATCTCTTATCCTTTGAGATGACATGGAGAGACCTGAAGAGCATTACACTAAGCGAAATAAGCCAATCAGAGGAAGACAAATAACACATGATCTCACTTATTAATGCAATATAATGAACAAAATAAGCTGATGAACAAAATAGACTGAAAGAGATAGAAAGGAGTATAGTTCAGACTGACAGACCTCAGAGGAGGGGGGCAGGGAGGATGGATGAGATAAACCAAAGAACTTTTATATGCATGTAAGCTTAACCAATGGACATAAACAACAATGCTGGAGGTGTGGGGGGAGCAGGATGGGGAGGAGGGTGTCTAGGGGGGAAAAAGAGAAATATCAGTAACAAAAATAAATTAATAAAAATTAAAAAATATATGTCTGGGGCCCTCTTTTCCCAACTGAGTACTTAGCTCCTAATATAGGGTATCACTCAGAGAGAAGGACATCATTTTCCCCACCCTACATCTAGAGCCCTGAAAGAGGAAACAGGCCATAAAACAAATATTTCCTACTTTCTTCCCAAAGTAACTGACTTCATTTTCAATAGAGTATAGAGAAAGCCTAGCACTCTCAAGGACAGAGGAGGTTGTGGCAAAAGGTAATTGGGAAAGGAACAATAGATTCATTATAAATATAGACAGATCTATTGGCCAAGGAGTTTGCTGAGAAAATGAAGGGAACAGTGGGGGCCCTTCAGGGGGTCAGAACAAATCTCAATCACTGACTTCAAGAACTATCCCTTCAAAGGAGCCCAAATTTGATTAGTCTTTAGAGCAATTTATGCCCCAGGACATTGTTGAAAACAATAAAAAGTCAGCCAGCAGTTAGTAGAACTTAACATCTGGATACGGTCAGGGAAAGAGCAAACACAGCACTGTCAAAACTATGTCAGTCATTTCTTGGTGATGATAAGCTAACCCAAGTCTGCACCCCTTGGGAAGAACATCAGAAACATTAAGACTGTAGGTTGGGGTGGGGGATAGACTTAACTAAAATAATTCAGCCAGTCACTGAATAAATAAACCAGCAACTAAGAATAACAAGCCCGGGGGGGGGGGGGCAGGAGGAGAGACCAGTATCCAGAGTTTCTACATTATATTATCTAAAATGTCCAGTTTTCAGTCCAGCCAGTGTGGCTCAGTGGTTGAGCATCAACCCATGCATCAAGAGGTTGCTGGTTTGATTCCCAGTCAAGACACATGCCCAGGTTGTGGGCCCGATCCCCCGTGTGGGGCATGCAGGAGGTAGCCAGTCAATGTTCTCTCTCATTGATATTTCTCTCTCTCTCTCCCTCTCACTTCTCTCTCTAAAAATCAATAAAGGAAAAAAATTAAAATGTCCAGTTTTCAGCAAAAAATTACAAGACATGCAAAGAAAGAGAGAAGTATAACCACTATAACAGGAGGGAAAAAAGCTAGCAATAAAAACTGCCTGTGAAAGCCAACCAGATATCAAACTTACAAAGTAGCTGTTATAAATATGTTCAAAAAATTAAATATGAAAGTCAGGGGAGCGCTTAATGAAGAAAGAGGAAGCTAGATTTCAATAGGAAAGCTTAATGGCATTTTTTATTACTTACCTTTTATCCTCTATTCCCCAGCTTGCCAGTAGTCATAAAAATGATGGCTCACATTCCTGATTTTGCTTGATGTTACCAGTACCTTGTTCTAAAACAAAACAAAACAAAACAAATGGGGTTGTTTTTCACCTGTCCAGTGATTCCCTGGAGAAGCAGCACAGAGGATGACCTTTGTTTTACCTTCCTCAATCTGTCTTTAGGTTCCAGGAGGTATTTAATGACAGCATTTAAAGACATGTGCTATCCCCTGCCACCAGGAGCAAGAGAAGGAGTATGAGACAAGCAGCACACAGACCTAAAAGCCTGTGAAGGAGAATGCTGAGAAGGAAGATTCTTGGGCAATGAGGACTTTCAAGTGCAACCATGTATATCAGGGAATCTGGAGTGTAACATGCATATTCATGGTTCAGAAATGACCTAAGAGAAGATGGCGGCTGGCAGGACCTAAGATAGGGGTGTGTGTGAGAGAGTGCGTGAGTGTGTGAGAGTGTGAGTGGACGTGAAGGTAGACGACCAAACCTGAGCACTGCAGAGCCACAGTGCAGAGTTCCTGTGCTGCAGACAGGAGCAGCCGGCTACCACAGTAAGCGGCTCTTCAGGGGAGGTCCCACCATTTTG